CCGTTCCGCCTCGCCTCTGCCGGCCGTTTTCCGGGCCTCTAAGGTGGCGTCATGGCCTTCCAGAACTGTTTGCCCGTCGCCGCCGGCATCGCGGCCGACCTCCAGACCTGCTCAGTGGCCGCCACTGCCTTCCAAGTGGTCGGCCTCCAGAATTGTTTGCCCGTCGCCGCCGGCATCGCGGCCGACCTCCAGACCTGCTCAGTGGCCGCCACTGCCTTCCAAGTGGTCGGCCTCCAGAATTGTTTGCCCGTCGCCGCCGTTGCCGTGTGCACGCTCGGCCCCTGGAACTGTTTGCCCGTCGCCGCCATTGCCGTGTGCACGCTCGGCCCCCTGATCTGTCTTGGCTCTTGTGTTGTCGACCTCCGGGTCGACCCCCAGACTTTACTGTGGCCTCATGACTAGTCTTGTTTTGTGTTGTCCTGTTTTTGGTTTAATCTGGACTCTTGTGCTCCTTGTTTTTTTTGTTTTGGACCCTCCTTCCTGGACCCCCTCCGCCCGCCCTGGTCTGGTGCTCGGGTTTGTTGTGCTTTTTTGTTTAGGGCTGTCGGGAGCCAACCCTTAGAACATGAGAACGCCATGTTTCATAGTCAGCTTCACTGTAAGTTCTGGGCATCTTGCCAGATAAAGCTCTGAGTCTTAATATAGAGTGAGCATGTGATGCCTTTTCAACACTCAACACTTGGACTCAATATTTGAGGTGTCAAGTTTGGTCTTATGGGGCGTTGGAATGTGCCCTGAATGGGTTCAGGAGGGTGAGCCAGTTCAGTTAAAACTGAAGGTGAGATTCCAAGTTGTGTGGATCCTACCACAGGGCAAGTCTGATCAGCAGTGTCATTTTCAGGGTTTATTTCAGCTGTCTCAGCAGCTTTGATGGTCTTCCCTATTGTGGACATGGCCTCCCGCAACACTTCCTCGAAATCCTTCCCAGTTAACTTGGCTAAACCTTTCAGGTTGCTAATATAAGCTTCAGTAACACTGCCCCCTACGGTCTTGGTATAGACGTCAGTTAAGGCTCGAATGCAGTAACTGACATTTGGATTCTCAGTGGACTGTAAGAGGTAAGGCAGCTTAGGTGCTAATATTTCAACAGCTGCACTGGACTCAAACTCTACAATCAGTCATCATCGACAGCGAGTACTCTACGAATAGTACCATGTTGCTCTAGAAACTCAAATACCTCTTTGTCTATCTCTCTATCTGCAACACCGCTAAAAATTATGGCATTTGGTACTTTAATGGCATACTCGTTGACAAAATCCATTTTCACAGTATGTGAGCGTCTGATCAAAGGGCAAAAAGGATTCCAATGTTGTCACACAACACTCTAGGCTCCTGGCTGGCTCGCCACTTTTTATTCTATGTAAATGGCCTGTATTTATATAGCGCTTTTCTAGTCCCTAAGGATCCCAAAGCGCTTTACATATCCAGTCATCCACTCATTCACACACACATTCAGACACTGGTGATGGCAGCTACATTGTAGCCACAGCCACCCTGGGGCGCACTGACAGAGGCGAGGCTGCCGGACACTGGCGCCACCGGGCCCTCTGACCACCACCAGTAGGCAACGGGTGAAGTGTCTTGCCCAAGGACACAACGACCAAGACTGTCCAAGCCGGAGCTCGAACCGGCAACCTTCTGATTACAAGGCGAACTCCCAACTCTTGAGCCACGATCGACCCTATGTAGCACTGGTGGTGCAATTCTAGATTCGTAGGAGCCAAGGGTGTCTGACAACAGAGGACTTGTACACAGTAGGTGTAAAAAAAACAAACAAAATTGCATTTATTAACAGTTATCAAAGTTTAGCAGGTTGTGCGCATTTAACAAAAGTAGAGTGCGCTTCATGGAAACAAAATTGAATAAAATAAACCCCATGTCACAGGTTGCCATTGGGGATCCACACGCAGGACTCCTGATTTGCAAGTTAACAATAAAAGTTTATTTACAGTTTCTTCACCAAGTGTATTTACAGGCTGGGGTAGTGGTATATACTGTACAAGACGTGAGGGGGCAGGGCTCCAGGGATCCGGGGAAAAGGGGAATCACACACACGCTCCACTCCGACCTCTCTCTCCACTAGTGACCGGTCGCTCCTTCCACACACCGCTCGAGGAAACACAGGGATGGGTCCAGGAAATCTAGGTACAAAGATACACACGTTAATATCTAGCGCGTAGGCACGAGAAACCTGACAAGAGTTTAACAACGATCCACCGCTGAACAACAGACCTCTTACCTCTTAAGAACCAGCTGGTCTTGATGAGGTCCAGGTGTTTCCAATGCAGGGAGGCGTGGGCCGAGAGCGTGAACACACCATGAGTTCCACCCCAGCAAAACAGGAGAGAGAGAGAGAAACAAAGAGAGAGAAAGAGAGACCGAGAGATAGGAGCATAATGATCAGCCCCTTGCTGATCCCCCAGGCCGTGACACCCCACAAATAGTCGACCCAAGGATATATTGTCTTTTGTGTCCTTTTTTAAAAGTCAGTTGCAGTCTCTCAATGTTCAGTAGTCACTCAGTGTGTTTGTAACCAGTCGGGTTACAATCTACCAGTTCATCCGGCTCTTTGGGCTGGGCTCGCCATCCAGTACTGGAAAAGGGATCCTCGATTCTTCTCAGGTCCTCAAAACCAATCCAATCGAAGTAAGCAAAGAAAAGAAACCTGACCATGTAAAGCAACAAATGCTACACAGGGCTTCACAGTGCTCACGTTGGCTCACGGCCTTCGGAACACACTATCACTCTCATTATTTTCAGCGAAGAAGGACTTTTACTTTCCAGTTAGCTTCTTCACCGCACGGGTAATGGATCTTTCACCGTCTCTGTCTCTGGCGTATCTGACTGGTACACGAAAGCACACACAGGTGTCCAAGCAGCGCACACAGGTTGGGGGAAGGTCAGACCAGCCAATGAGTGGTTGCTCAGTGGATCTAACAAACACACTCTAAAGGACAAAGTCCTGCCTCTACACCATTTATCCACATATTAGTTAAACTTATGTTTACATGCTTTTTATTAGTATTTATTATATTTAATAAATATAGACATGTGTGGAATCCACAGAAACCTCAGAATCTCAGCTAAAATGTCATATAAACCATTTCTACAACTACCAAACACACTAAAAACAAGCTGTGATTAAACGAGCAGTTATGTAAATGCACAGAAGTCCGCTAAACAAACAAAACCCAACTAGAAATTCTTCAGACTTCATGTAACCGGCTAAAGATAGGCTGGTTAGCTTCCAGGGCTATCACTGACTCCACACACCAAGTTTCACCATGATCATACCAAAATTCACTGAATGAGCTGCAAAAGAAGACCACAAAAACAAACAGCGGCGCAAATGCGCTAGGACAGAAATTGGCTTACCGTCCCGAGTTCCTCCATTATTTTCGCCGGTAGCTGGTAGCCACGTGATTACCAGTAGTTACCATGCCTACCTAGCCACATCAGAGCTGTTTTCTGTCAACAACCTCCATTTTAGACCCACCTACGTGACTGGACAGACGCCACATGCAGTAAATTTGGTAAAAACGTGGGTTTTGGCATTACAACGTCTGATTGGTTGAAGTGACGTGAACGTGACATCATTACTGTGAATCTATTGGCTCAAACGATTAAAAAGAGAAGTCAATCATGCAAATTGACCAAAAGAAACCAAAGTTACAGCCCCTCAGCCCCAAAGTTACAGAGTTAAAAAGGGCCGAGACCAATTAAACGCTTCATGCGCACTGCAGAAAAGGGCCATTACCATGTAAATGTGTGGTTAATTCTTCAAAAATCTATTTTTAAAAAAAGCATTTTTAGGCCTGTTAATAAAATGTATTATTAATCTGCTCTTTAATACCTAAAAAAAATCAACTGGCATGGTGTCCAATTGTGTGCCAAAATTGGACATTTTTGTACGTCTGGATATTCATGTATTGACAGGGCTGTAATTTTTCACTGTTTCACTTTAGAAACATAAATCTTTGCACAGATGATGTTTATATGTTGGTTACTGAATTTCTGGAACCAAATGTGATCTGAGGCATATTTTTAAAAGGGTTATATGCTAAAATAAAATAAAAAAAGAATTATGCGAGGATAAAATCTACTTACTTTTTCTGTGTTCCAGTCTCAGTAACTTTGACACAGTAATATCTGCTTCAATATTTACACCTCTGATGAAATTTCCCAAGTGTTAGCTTTATTTTGATACCAAGATTGTAAGGACAGAGTTTGTAATTGCAGAGAAATAATCAATAAAATTTGGGCATTACATTTTCGAGCAGGAAGCTCAGAAACCCCCCTGGGGCTTAAGAGGTTAAGATAATATTGTTTCTCTTTCTATCTTAAACACACCTAAACACACTCACATTACGGTCCAACATCCATTTCGATATTCTGCTTTTAAGTGAGGTATTTTTGCATCATGCAATAAATATTTGTATTTTCTGTATCACTATGAGCTTTGTCTGTTTCCTTTCTCTGTTGTGAAGATAACTGAGACTTGAGATCCGGCTGACCTTTCACTTTCATTTGTGAATGCTTTGTAAGGCAAACCTTGTTGTGTGACCTCAATTAATTTGAGATCACACAAAGTACTAAAGCTAACAGCTAATAAAATAAGTACACACTCAACCAACTAGTTTCATATATGCATACATTTTCATCTAAGTTCTTCTTTCATCAGTTGCTAAATGATACCGTGAACTATGAACAGCTGTTTAATAACTTTTTTGTAGATGACATAAAATTTCATAAAAATGCTATTATTAAACATGTATGAGCGTATTACTCCATTAATTGTCCATGTTTATAAATTACATACCAGCGAGTTAAGTATTCATTAATGCTTTACTAAAGCTTTTAAGTGTATAGTCATTATAAAGTGTCACCATGAGGAGTAAATCATGTACCTTCCAAAATACACTTTGTCATTTTTACTGTTTTTCTAAGCAAAGACGATTTTTATTTGATGTCTTTTTCTCCTTTTTCCGGGTTATTTACAGAAGCCAGGGATGGATGTAGCTGACAGTTATGTGACATTTGTCCGTCATTCCCAGGACATGCTGCGGGAGAAGGTCAATGAGGAGGTGTATGTAGAGCGAATATTTGATGTAAGTAAGCTACAGCATTGCCTCTTTTCTCCAAATCAAAGAGTAACACCAAAGTTTCATTTACTTTATTTGCGCTTAATGTGCAGCTGTCAGGTAAATATTTAGTTTCACATCATTGCAAGTGAAAAGAGAACAGTAAATGTTCGCAAGTATTAAGGTTTGCTTGTTTTTTTTTTTAAAGGGTTTTTTTTAAATTAATGTATAGTTGGAGGTGAGTTAAACAAACCAAACACACAGCACTTTAAGCTACTGCAGTTCTTACATTCAGTGTAACAGAGATTCCAAATAACAAACGTAGGCAACGAGATTGGCTGTTTGTTATTTGTTACTGCTGGACAAGAACAAATGCTAACAACTGCAAGCAGATAACTCCAGGAGGATCCAAGGCCTGCACAAAAGTGTACAAAAAAAAAGTTCGCTCTTTCTGCATGTGATATACACAATGAGTGAGTTGATATATTTACAAAAAGTGCCATGTAAAGATCATGTAACAGGCACAAAGCCTGACATGACTAAGGCCTCTTCGCAAGAAGTACACAGAGTTATTATAGAGATTTGGAGGCCAAGGATAGAACAGGAATGCTGCTGGAACCCAAAATGTCCAGATGTTGGGAGGAAAACATACAGCAGCTGATATTTCAATATGAAGCTCACAAACTCAGCAATGCGCAGAGGGACATTCAGAGACTGTAAGAAAGTGGAAAGGTCAGAGTGTCTTATTAAAACAGTACACAGGTTTTTTTTTAAATAAAAAGACAAAAAAAAAAAAGCAAACAAGCAAAACTGTCAGTTACTAATGTTTTGTAAACTCTGAAGAGTACACAGAGCTCAGGGCTTTTGTTAACAGGTGATACAAATTCCCATAGTCAACACTCTACTCCATAGCTTAGAGTGCATTGACGTATATTTCAATTACTGCCTCACAGGAGAGGAGAGAAGCCAAATGCAAGACATTGACGTTGACACCCAGGTTTGTGAATGTGATAACTCAGGGATGAGGCAATGTAGGAGTTTGAAATTGATACCTCAGTGCATCTATTAAAAATCTCGGAAGGTCTCATTGACCGTAAGGTCAAAGGTCAATGAGATTCATGAGAGCCAAAGTTTTCTGAAAATCTTGTGAATGCGCTAATTTGAGAATGAGGGGAAGTAGGTTTTTGAATTGATGCCATAGGTGTTTCTATGGCAAGCCGAGGGGTAGCACTGGCAGCCGACAGTACTAGTTTAAAAACCTCTGGTTAACTTTCATGCATTACAGTTAAATTAAAGTGCATTAAGACAAACCTTAAAAATTTACAGTAGTGTTCAAGAGTCTTGAGCCATCTAACCTCTATTTGTATTTTGATAGAAAAATGAAATATAGGTACAGTGATTTACTGAAATGTTCAAACATACGTGGAAATACAGTTTATAAAACACTGTAAAGGCAGAGTTTGTATTCTGTTTGAAAGTCGATCTTTGGTATGACCAAGTTTACTCTTCAACACCATCTGAACTCTGTCCAAGCCCACTTGTAATTTCTGTAACTACTCCTCAAGAAAGGTTCTTCATGCTTCGTGAAGGACATTTCAAAGTTGCTCTTAGATGTTGGCTGCCCTCTGTTATGTTTGTCATCAAGATGATCACACACGGCTTCAGTAATGATTTGGTCCAAGCTCTTAGGAGGTGAATCTATGACAGATAATGTTCCATTATGTGTTTTTCTATCCAGGTATGCTTTCACTGCATTGATATTTTGATTGGGGTCATTGTTATTCTGAAAAATGAAGTTGCTGCTATCCATCCATTCTCTTCCACTTATTCAATTCAAGGTTGCTGAGGAGCTCAAGCCTATCCCAACTACCATAAACAGGCCATAATATTAGACAGGTCACCAGGCTGTCCCAGGGCTAACATAGAGAAAGAGACAACTTTGTCCTGTCTCCCTCCCCTCACCCAAACTGGTCAATGAGCTTTGTAAGGTTTCTTCCTGTTAAAAGGGAGTTTTTCCTTCCCACTATCGCCAAAGTGCTTGTTCATAGAGGGTCATCTGATTGCTGGAGTAATTCTGTATTCTTTTGGGGTATTTACCTTACAATATAAAGCACCTTTATAGGGACTGTTGTTGTGATTTGGCGCTATATATATATAAAATTGAATTGAATTGTTAACCCCTTCAGACTTGTTGCTGATTTCAAGTCCAGTTCTTGTGTAGTCTGGCATGCTTCAGCCTTTTCTGATGATTCTGTTCCTTAAGATTGGCTTCTGGACAGCCGTCCTTCCAATGAGACCAAATCTAATGAGAAACAGGACATGGATTAACTGATGGGTCATTTGCATCACTGTGTGAGGTCTGGATTTTTTTCTGTATTTCCCCATTGTTAATTTGCTCTAAATAGTTTTTCACAGCTGTCAATTCTTCTTTTGCTCTCAACTTGTTTAACTGCTGGGATGTTTCACTCGTGTTTGAAGCTTTCTGAAAAATGTGGCTAATCACAGTTAGATTTGAAGAGCTTTTCCCCTTAATAAACTTCTTTGTTTAGTGTCACAATTTGTTTGATGATTTGAAAACTATCCCAAAAAGTTTCATAGCACTTTAGGTGTCATATTTGATGACTTTTCTTGGCAGAGTTTAATTTAATGGCCTGGCTTCCTTTCTTATTAAACATACACTTCCAGTCACTGTGACCAAATAGTTCAGTCTTTGTTCCATTAGACCACAATAGAAAAGATTTCCATCTGGGCAACTACAAATTTCTGTTGAGTTTAAATGTATTGCGATACTGCGATATCTGCTTCTAATAAAACATATATTTACACATATTCTTAAACTCTCTAAATATAGTAGTCAGGTGTTATATATATTAGTCAATAAAGAAAAAACAGGTTTTCTCAGTGTTCATAGTTTTACTGTATGAGATAATAACACCAGGAAAAAGGGAAAAACATTCATTTGGTGAGTAAAAGAGACATACGGCTGCTTTCCAAGTCAAAGTTTTTTATAAAACACAAAGAGAAAGAAGTAACATGTATTTACAAGAATGTACAGTGAAAAATATAATATAAAAACAAACATGCATCGCCTTCAAAAATTCGAAGATACTTCAAATAAATTGTCGTTTGAATAAAAAAAAGGATAAAAGGTAAATGGGTGCAAATAACTTGTTGTTTGCAAAACTGGTGCATATGATTTTAAAATTGACAATTTATATTTGCATTTAAAGTTATATATAACTTTTTCTACTCAGATTTTATGTTTTTTGTCTGTTTTAGATCAATTGCGTTAATACAGTAGTCAAAATGAAAATATAACTGTAAATTCAGACACGTGAGGTTGTGCTGAAAAGAATGAGACCAAACAAGGCAAAGTAAACAGTTTTTAAAGGTAAACTGTGGAGGAAATATCAAAAGTAGTTAAAAAATGGCCAATTATACCCTAGACCCCAGAGGGTTAAACATTTTTTTAAAGTAACGCAAATTACTTTTAGAATCTTGTAACTCAGTTACTAACTGAGTTACTTTTTTGAAGAAGTAACTAGTAGCTATAATTAATTACTTTTAGAATCTTGTAACTCAGTTACTAACGGAGTTACTTTTTTGAAGAAGTAACTAGTAGCTATAATTAGTTACTTTTACAAAGTAACTTGCCCAACATTGGTCATAAATTGTATAGGTACACTGCACAGTCACTCATATTGCCTAACCTACTGATAGAATTTCATTTAAAAACAAACTTTTGGGTTTTGTCTATGTCACAAATATTTCAATCCAGTGGAATATAACTTTATTTATATAAGTGTCATATCACAATAATAATTGTCTCTGGGTGCTTTGTATTGTGAAGGAAAGACCGTGCATTAATAGAGAAAAATTTACATCCTGTTAGAAAAATTAAGGAGGACCGACGTAAAAAAAAGTTAAGTCGAGAGAGATGCTGAGATTTTTCACTTTATCCAACTTCATCAAACAAAAAGATTTTTATACTCTTGTTTGTCAGAGGTAGAAAATGTTAAAAGGAACTATTCCTGTGAACACGATTCCTCTGTGTGAAGATGACGAAGCTACCAAAAGGCTGCCGCTGTACACTGTGCCCGGCCAAAGCACCGCCCAATTATAGTTTGGAACCACAGATAATGAAGTAACAGGATGATGTTTGATACATGTGCACAGTTAAAGACTTACACACTGTCCTTTACATCTTTCCATCAATTGTTTGACTGTCTACATTATTACAGTTCACTTGATAATTACTAATAACTTCACTTAATGACTTGTTGCAGTCCTGAATTTGAGATATGACCATTTGTGAAATGGCCACGGGGCAGGAGTGCAGTCTTTTGTTGTGGGGTCATGTGGATCTGTTTTATTGGTAGCTGACAGTTTAGTTAAATACTGATCCTGGTTCCTTGATATGTTTTTTGCTTACAAACCTTACATGCCTGCTTACAAACAAAGGCTAAAGCAGCAACCACCAATCAGGAGTGAGGTCGCTCGCTGGACGGACCAATCAGTGGCCGCGCTGCAGGACGCACTGGATGACGCAGACTGGGACATGTTTCGGCGCAGCTCTGATGACATCAACATGTTTACGGAAGCGGTTGTGGGATTTATCGGGAAACTAGCGAACGACACAGCAGAAAGAACTATCATCCGAACGTTTCCTAACCAGAAGCCGTGGGTGCATAAAAACATCTGCAACGCTCTGAGATCACGCACCGCTGCCTACAATGAAGGGCTTGTCTCCGGTAATATGGACCTATACAAGGCTGCGTCCTACAACGTGCGCAGCGCGGTCCGAAAGGCAAAGCGGAGCTACGGGGAAAAACTAGAGTCACAGCTACGACAGTGCGACTCTAGGAGCCTGTGGAAAGGACTGCGGACTATAACAGACTATAAACGACCAGCTTCTTCAATGATGAATGCCGACACTTCACTGGCTGATGAGCTGAACACGTTTTACGCTCGCTGCGACGCCGCAGCAATTAAAACAACAAATGGCTGCGCGCGCTCGGAGTGCACCA